CCCACATGTTGTATCTTAGGAATAAAATATTGAAAATGCAAAATTTATAAATTTGACATTGATATAATCGTAAAATAATGCTTTCCGAACGTGTTTCAAAAAAAAAAAGTGTCATACTCATAATAGACACATTTCAAAATACACAATGATTACGTTTTTTATTATGATAACGCGAGGGTTAAGAAATAAATACGACTTCATCCGATTAATTTAAAAAATTTGGTTATGTCCGACTACTCGGGCGTTAATAGGTACTTCAGGGAATTATAAAGAATAAAAAAATTTAAAATCAAACAAAAATAAATGAAATTTTGGAATTTTCTTATAACCCGTAAAGACAAATAAGCGAATTTCACCCCGAAATTGCTTACCCGGTCGACGCATTGTCTCTCGGGATCCTTTTTGACCCTTTTTTCATTTCGAAAACGGAATACGCCAGTCCGGATCTGCTATAAATAAACGCCGATGTGCTTTCGCACCCCATGTAACCTATTGTCCATTAATTCGGGAGAAATGGCTCGAAAGGTCGACTCCGGGCCTGTTTTATTCCCAACGATATTCGCCCTTATCTACCCAGAATTTATACTCTTAAACCCAGAGATCACTCATTGAAGACTGATTGATTACAAAATTTCCAAAAAAACGTCAAAGCAAATAAGATTTTCGTAAAAATCAGACAATTTTAACTTAATTTAATGTATCACACCCTACATCTATCACAAAATTGACTTTTATAAGCATAGATGGCGCAATTTATTCATCTTTTGTTTTCGGCAATCTTGATTTTTTAAATATAAAGATATCTTGAGTGTTATAACACATAGATATGTCAAGTTTGGACTCATTTTGCATGTTTTTTAATTATCTACTGAAATATTTGATCATTAATAATTGGATGCTTTTTATTACCATATTTCATTATTTTCAAAGATAATAATAAACTTTGTAAAATGAAAACAAAGAAATCTCGTGATTTTAACGTTCTACATTCGTGCTGAAAAGTAATTTGTAATAATACTTTTAAGATAACGGTACACGTTGGTTTGTATATTTGCGTGTTATAAATGGGTTGAAAGTGCTAGAATTTCAGTGGTCGATGCCCCTTACGCCTTCGTCGAGTCGTATCTTTAATAAATTACACCCCAGCGACTTCTCTCCCTCCGAAACGGTAAAGTTTCACTACTCCCATGTTTCGGGTTGTTGGAATTCGCGCACGGAAAGGGAAAAGACGACGACAACGATGAGAAGAACTGGAAAAGCGTTTCTGCGTTTAATCCAAAAAAAAACCAAAACCCCGAAAGGTGTACGCGTGGTGCGGAACTCCTCTAAAATGGAAGTCCAAATAATTTCACGATTTGCATTTCCCAGCTCGTCTTTTCCTTCTGCGTGCTTTACTCCGCAGAAGGAGCTTTTGAAAACGCGGGGACGTTCTCTCGTGTTCCATTGTATTTTCTTGAATTACGATGACAAATACATAAATTCGAGTCTGGCAACGACAGGAAAGCTTCCGCGCGTTACCTTTGAAGGTGCATCTTAAACATTTTTAGATTCTACTTTGCGAGAACTAGGTTCTAATACGAATTTAAATTGAGATAATAAGCTTTATATTTCGAGGTATTCTTTGATGTAAAAGGACGAAATTATAAATGAATCAAAAAAATTCAACCTTTTTATTTTTTGTGCTATATTATATACTTTTATGGAAGCGTGTAAGGTTGATATTAACGAATACTTGGAATCCCCTCAAAAAAAAGCGAGATCGTAACGAACCGGCCCTTTGTTACGCTTTCATTCCATTTTCTAGTTAATTAATAAACACGGAACGGTCTCGTACACGAAAAAGGCCACTGTTGATTACAAAATCGATACGTTTTCCCTGTCCTAGCGTAGATTGGTTAGATTAGTGTCTCTCTTTTTCGTTAAGTACCTTAATGACATTACGATAATTATTTTATTTTTATATACAATAATTTGATGCTAAATAACAACTAAAACTAGAACTAACACTAGCATTACAACTAACACTAGACCTAGAAACATTCGGGTTTATAAGTATGTTAATAAGAATTAAAAATGGTTTAATTTGATACCAAACATGATATATTTCGGTTAAAAAATAAAAAAGTTAGGTTAGAAACTGTCAAATTTCAAAATTAAATATAACGACTTGTTGATAAATATTGACATGATCTTAATAAGAATCAAAAATGCTTTAATTTGATACCAAACATGATATATTTGGGTTAAGAAACAAAAAGTTAGGTTATAAACTGTCAAATGTCAAAATTAAAAATAACGATTTTTTAATAAATATTGAATTGATCTTAATAAGAATCAAAAATGCTTTAATTTGACATCAAACATGACATATTTGGGATAAAAAATAAAAAAGTTAGGTTAGAAACTGTCAAATGTCAAAATTAAATGTAACGATTTATTTGATAAATATTATAATTATTTTAATAAGAATCAAAATTGCATACATTTTATACCAAACATGACGTATTTGAGTTAAAAAATAAAAAAGTTAGATTGGAAACTGTCAAATGTCAAAATTAAATGTAACGATTTTTTGATAAATATTACGATTATCTTCATAAGAATCAAAAATGCTTTAATTTGATACCAAACACAATATGTTTACGTCAAAAAATAAGAAAGTTATGTTATAAACTGTCAAATGTCAAAAATCGCCATGTTTTGTTGCTAAAATTAACATTTCTCGATAACGGTTAGAGATAAATAGGTCGAGTTTGGGTTCATTTTAAAGGATTTTTAATTTCCTATCCATTTATGGTAAAAAAAGAACACCTTTATAATTAAAATATTTTTCTTAATTGATCCTTATTAAGAAACAAATACGACTTTACCCGAGTAATACAAAAATTTGGTTATGTCTGACTACTCGGGAGTGCTCAGCCGTATTGGGTTTTGTTGGCAAACATGATATATATAGGTTAAAAAATAAAAAAGTTAGGTTAGAAACTGTCAAATGTCAAAATTAATTATAACGATTTTTTGATAAACATTGAAATTATTTAAATAAGAATCAAAAATGCTATAATTTGATACCAAACATGATATATTGAGGTTAAAAAATTAAAAAGTTTGGTTAGAAGCTGTCAAATGTCAAAATTAAATATAACGATTTTTTAATAAATATTGAAATTATCTGAATAAGAATCAAAAATGCTTTCATTTGATGCCAAACATGATATATTTATGTTAAGAAATAAAAAAGTTAGGTTAGAAACTGTCAAATGTCAAAATTAAATATAACGATTTTTTGATAAAATTACAATTATCTTAATAAGAATCAAAAATGTTTTAATTTGATACCAAACATGATACATTTGGGTTAAAAAATAAAAAGTTAGGTTATAAACTGTCAAATGTCAAATAATCGCCATTTTTCTTTTGCTAAAAATGAAGATATCTCGATAACGGTTAGAGATAAATAGGTCGAGTTTGGGTTCATTTTAAAGGATTTTTAATTTTCTATCCATTTATGTTAAAAAAATAACACAATTATAATTAAATTTTTTCTCTGAATTGATCTTCATTAACCTTCGCGTTACCACCGGGGTATGAAAGGAAAAATGTAAAATTTATAAATTTGACTTTCATGTAATCGTAAAATAATGTTTCCCGAACGTGTTTAAGAAAAAAAGTGTCATAATAGACACATTTCAAAATAATAAATGGGGTTCCTCACTTACCCCACTTGGCCACAATCATTACGTTTTTTATCATAATAACGTCGGATGCAGGATGATTTTTTTTAATAAATATTAAAATGATCTTAATAAGAATCGAAAATGCTTTCATTTGATACCAAACACGATATGTTTACGTCAAAAAATAAGAAAGTTAGGTTATAAACTGTCAAATGTCAAATAATCGCCATTTTTTTTGCTAAAAATTAACATATCTCGATAACGGTTAGAGATAAATAGGTCGAGTTTGGGTTCATCTTAAAGGGTTTTTAATTTGCTATCCATTTATGGTAAAAAAAGAACACCTTTATAACTAAAAAATTTTTCTGAATTCATCCTTATTGAGAAACAAATACAAAATTCGGTTATGTCTCGGGTTTCTAGTTCTAGGTCTAGTGTTCGTTCTAATTTTAGTTCAATAAAAATCTAGCGCTAAATAACAATTAAAACTAGAACTACCGTTTTTGATTTATACATCATATAGGCAACTCGGGGAATACCCCGAGTTTATAATATATTATTAATAATATTAATAGTAAGACTTAAAAATATTTTATCCATATAATTGGAAATTAAATCGAAACTTTTAGTATAGATTGGTGATGAATCATTTTGTATGCGAAACACAGAATTCCGGCCTGGTATTTTGCATATTGTATAGGAGGAGTAAACCCCGAGGATATTCCAAAATTCTGTGCGGTGTCGCCGCATGCAAAGATCGGAAATTACTCCACTCCAATTGAAACTACCGCTATTGTGGTTGTTTCGTTAATGGATAACATGGAAACGGACTACTGATGAACTATTTTGCGGGATAAATTTTTTAACCAACGTTTTAATTAGCCAATTAGCCCCTAAAATCTTTTGCGCAAACCTGTACATCCAAAATAACGTACACCGAAGCGATTATATCACGGCCATTAATCACTTTGGACGGATCGTCCATCATTTTTTCCCATCGACAGACGAATAACATAAATCTGAGGGAAATGAGAGAGCTGTTAAAAAAAAATTTCAAACCGAAAAAAAAATTTCCTCCCAAAAACAATCCAAACATTATTTAAACCCTTTGCTAAATTTAACGTCTACCTTCAATTTTTAGTCCTCCCTCTTAATTAAACCCTCGCTAATGAGAATGTGTGGAAAAAAACCTGGTTAAATGACAACGGAGTTTCAACCTTAATTGGGGCGTCTTTTCTCCTAAAGAAAATCTTCTCTTTTTTTGAATAAAAAGAAACACTTTTTTCTCGTTTTAATCTTTTTACCTTTTTTTTAAAAACTTACCTCCATCGCTTCTTGTAATTACAACAAGTAAGCACACGAACGGAGTCAACAGATTCATATCCAACGTTGCTCAACATTTCCGAGCCGTGACGATGAAGATTCTCGATCGATTTTTGATTTTCAAATGGTTCCGTCTAATTTGAATTTGGAACGGGATCGTGTTATTCCTGAAACAAGAGGAAAATAATGAAAGGTTTCAGCGGTATGGTGACACATGCCTCGACCGCGTGCGATTGATTTTCAACCGGTCATAAATTGTACACGTTAAACAGTCGTCCGCGACGCGTCCAAATTCAATAATGTTCACATCGCGGATTACTACTAACAATGAGTTATTGCGTCTGATGTGTCCGATAAACCGTTATTAACAGCCGGTGTATTTTAAAATCGTTTTGTAAACCACCGCTATTATGGACGATTCAATTTAAACTAAACTAAAACAATTAAACTATTGATGAATTGTTGTTGGGATAATATTTCAAATTTTCCAATTTAAATGATTAAATCAAGTATGTTGGTATAATATATATAGAAATACAAAAATTTGTTACCAGAACGGCTTAAATCCTACTATTATTAGCAAGGTTACAACAAGGTTACTTAAGACCGAGGAGCTACAATTGTGCAAACATTCTTGATCACTTTTGATATAGACTTAATCAGTAGTCCAATCTAAAGTTGTTAACATATAGTACCGGGCTTTGCCGGCAAGCGACCACGACTAAGCTAATATACAACATCGACTACATAATTAGATCGAGGTTCTTGAGGCCGAGGTGCTACAATACTCAAACAGTTTTGGTTAGATATAGAATTAATTGTAACGCGTCGGTTAAATGACATACATTCTCCGGTTATAAATTTGCCGATATCGTTTGCAGCTGAGGTTCTGGAATATACAGGGTGTTTATTAAACATGCGGCATAGGAGATACTTAAAGAGGATGAGGAAGGAAAGAGAGGAGGTCAGCAGAAATATACAAATGACTGACTGGAGAGCCTACTTCATGGGATTGTTGGGAGGGGTGGAAGAGAGAAGACTGGGAGCGGGAGAGCGAGGGGTGAAAGGAGGAGAGGATGAGATCCAGTATGAGGCATGGTTGGAGGCGACGAAGACAGTGAAGAAGAAGCTATGGAAGGTAATAAACGATGTATGGATGGGGGAGAGGTTTAATAGGGATAATATGCCCTATACAGTGGGCAAAAGAGGAGTAAAAGGGTGGTGAGCAATTATAGAGGAATCACCCTGTTGGACACAACTTTCAAAATTTATGCAAAGATACTGCTGGGGAAGTTGGAAGAGGAAATGGAGAGGGGGAATTGACAATATATACATTCTGAACCACCTGGTAGATAGGGAGTTGAACAAGAAGGGAGGAAAGCTGTATGGATTGTTTATTGACCTGAAAGCTTATACTATTTAGTCCCACACTATTGGCAATATACAGGCTGATTCTCAACCTATACGCATAAACTTGAGGATTTATTCCTGAAGACAAATAATGGGTAATAGGTGAAAAAAAGTGTAGTAAAAGATTTTTAGTTTCATAGATATCCGATATATGCGGCGACATCTACATAATGTGCTTCTCACAAGATGGACAGGACGAACTAGTCAATTGGCGTTTCCATCCTGATCGCCAGACCACAATCCTCTTGATTTTTATTTTTAGGTATACTTAAAAAGCATAGCCATAATCATCTTACACAGTAACACCAAACTATCTCATCTATCACTGATATCACCATACTTATTACATCTTCTTCAAAAAAATGTTTACATACATTATGCAAGAGATTGCAAGAGTTGCCTATACAAATGATGCATGGCGAAATTTAGTAAGGAGATGAAAAATGACATGTACGGATTACACGGATTATACTGAGGTGTACATACATACAGTGTTAAACACATAGCAGCTGAGGAAGTTAATATATGGATACGGCGAGCCCAATTGTGTATAGAAAATATTGGAAACAACTTGGAACGCTTGCTTTGAAAGTAAATTTCATGGATATCTAGGAAACTAAAAAACTTTTGCTGATGAGAATGAAGGAGTCCCTGGAAAGATATTTTAAGGCGAAGGGGTTGGAGGTAAACGTTGAGAAAACAATGATAATGAAGTTCTGCAAAGGGGGGAGAAGAAAGAAGGAGGAATGGAGGTGGCAAGTGAAAGCGTACACGTACCTGTGATATGGATTCCCGGAAAGTAATAAGGTCGGGGTGTACGTGAGGGCGATGACAAAAAGAGCGAACAGGGTGATGGAATAGGTTTGGGGGTGGAGGGAAAGAACTTTTGGGAGGGACATGGGAAAAAGAAAGCTTATGCTTGATGGCTTGGAGGAAATGATACAAGCAAAACCGCATTGCAGGATCCTGGGAGAGTGCTGGAGGGAAATTAAGGAGAGGAGGATGATCTATGGGCAAAGAGACAGGGAAGAATATTATAGAAGAGCGGAAAGAGGTGAAATGTGGAGAGAACTGAGAGATAGGTACAGGGACGTACAGAGGTAGGAAAGAAAGTCACAGATACAAGAAGGGAGATACAATGAAAGGTATGGGGAGATAGTGACAGAGGAACTGCCAAAGTATTTGTTGATGGAGGAGGATGATGAAAGGAAGAGATTGGTGGCCAGATTCCGCTGTGGCAATGAGGAGAGGGGGAATAGGTACTGGACGGACGATGTGGAGAGGTGGTGTAGGCTGTGTGGAGAGGATTGGGAGTTAATAAATAATAACAATAGAACGCTTATTATTATTATTATTAAACGGTTATGATTTGGACTATTCTAAGAATAATAATAATTTATTGTCTCACATAAGGTTACAATTTATACCAATACTAATACAATTACTATAACCTATCAAATTACTATCCCTTTAACTAGCCTCTCCCTGTCTTCCTACGTCTCCACGCTGCCACCACCTCCCCCATCCATCTCCTTCCCTCCGCACTCTTCCCCAACACCTGCCTCCAAACCATCACCTCCTCCCTCAACTCACTACACTCTACCAGCAGATTGTGTAAGAACTCCCAGCCTTCATCTACCTTCATTCCTTCCCTGACTATATATCTCGAAGTCTCCCTAGCTAACCCCAACACTCACCTCCAGTACCTGGTCTGCAGATCCTCTAAGAGCCCTTGCTCTTTCCATCCCCATACATCATTATGTTTTTTTATCAAGCTCTTAAACATGAATTTCCTTTTTCCCACATTTTTCAAACGCCGTCTTTAAATCTACAAATAGAGCATGAAGCTCTATCTCTTCGATCTCCCTCTCTCTCTTTCGATCCAGTTCTCTATCCACCACGTATTTCAATATATACATGTTGTTTATCGCTCCCCTTTCCTTTCTAAACTCTCCACTGTCTCTTTCCTTCCTTTTTTGTACAATCCTCCACTTCCACGGTTGCCTCCACCCATGCTTCGTTCTAGACCCCATTTTCTCCGGGGCCTTTCCCTTCTTCAATCCCTACAATACTGTCTCCACCTTCTCCTCTATTATCTTATTTATATATCTCCAGACATCCCCCTTTCGTCTCACCAACCTAATTTCGTCCGCCTTCCTCTTCCTCATCTTTATCTTCTCCCTCCTGCATGTTTCTTTATACACCTATCTTGCTATTCTAAGAATATTTTATCCATTCATAATTTTTGAAAAACCGGTTTAATTCAAAGATACGATATGAATAAAGATTTCAACAACAACATTTTATTACGAACAATTACAAATATAAGCTTCCTAATCTACAATAATTGTTCAAAATGACTACCTACAGCTAAGATGCAAGAATTCAATCTTCTTCTCATTGACTGTCGAACCGTTTCAAAAACACCAGGATCGTTCCTTATTGAATTACAGCCAGCAGTAATACGATTTCGCAAGTCTTCCACATTTTGCACTGGAATAGTCCGGGGATCGGTCAGGCCACAAGTGTTACTGTCAAAAACTCAAGAGCAACCCTACTAAAATGCGCTAATGCACCATCGTGCATAAACCACATTGAATTTCTTATTGCTAATGGTACATCTTCTAGAAACTGATGTAACGTTTGTTCCAAAAAGTTGCAATACACTTCGCCGGTAAGTCTTCTTGGTAGAAACACTGGTTCAACTAGCCATAATTCCAACCCAAACGTTCAACGAGAACTGATGTTGATATCGGTTTTCACTTAGCTCGTGTGGATTTTCTTCAGCCCACACAATGCTACACGTGGAAGAAAAACAACAGGTAGAAGTACTTGAACGCGCTGTAAATGGAGTACAATAAATAATTTTTAGGAATTTTCCAAATAGTCCGATTGCCTGGTTCTTCCTCTATTATGTTCAACACATTCTCTTCTAGTTCTACCGTTATGACTACCATTGGATTTCCTGATCCTTAACTTCAAATAAAATCGAATCGGTATTAAATCTCGTCAGCTTGCTCTTGTCGTTCATTGTAATTCGCCGAAAGACTGCCTAGATTCAGTATTCCTAAACTGGACTTTCATAGTGATGTAGTCTAAGTCGGACTTAAAGTTCAGTCAGCATTACTGCTAAGTAGTAACTAATGGTCTCGCTGCCAAAACTTGGTTTCTGATTTTATCGCGTTTAATTATAGGCTTACCTTTTCCCCAAGTTGTCTAAGATCCTTCACACTTATTTGCCTTATTCCAAAGTACCTGCCATAATTAAAATCAAGGTGGTCAATCAAAAGTGACATTATCATCAGATTTTTCCAGATTTATGAGTTCTAAATAGAAATCGACCTCTAAATTCTTATTAATATTGCAGATATAGTTAATTGCTTAAATGCTGTTTCTAACTATCGACATATAGTACAGGCTTAGCAATTGCAGGACTAATTTCAAAAGGGGAGAAAAAAGAAAAAAGGGATCTGGTTTCCGATTCTGATAGGGCAGAATGCTAAGTCTTTTTAACACTGGGTTCAATTTTGGGTCTACTAAACTTATTTTTAGATGGTGCTTTCAATCAATGCAACGATCTCCTGTATCGTTTCAAAAAAATCTAATTACTGTGATTCTGTCTATATTGCGGCGGATACTGGCAGTGTATATTCTGCATACAAAAGGATTGTTTGAGGCCTAATTATGGTGTTCGAGGACGAGAGGCAATTTGACATCAAACTGAAGCTAAATGGGTGAGCATGGATAACAAGTGACA